ACCGGGGGGAGCCGAGGCGGCCAGGGAGGAACAGCCAACTGCCGGCAACCAGCCGGAACTGCTGGGGCCGGCCCGTATTGAAGAATATGGCCGAATTTACCCGGGCTGGCCGTATATCGGCGTATAACACGCACACATCATTTGCCCCCTATTTTCAGGGGGAAAAAGTGCGTGTTATACGCCGATAAATACGGTAACTCAAGGCAGTGAACATATATAATACTCCTTTCTCCTATTTTTCTCACAGCAACCAGATTGCCATCCCACAGACTGATCTGAGAGTGTGTAACTGGCCCAAAGTCAGCCAGCTTTCATTCCTAAGGCGGGACTAGAACTTAAGTCTCCTGGGTTCTAAACCAGCACTTTAAGCATTACACCAACTGGCTCTGTCAAACTTCATTTAAGGTTAGATCAGCAGAAATGGCTTTACTTTCTCCAATTCTCTGTACAGGTAGTCCTTGACTGACAACAGGTCATTTAGTGATTGAGATTACAACGGCATGAAAAAGTGACTTATGGCCACTTTTCACACTTATTTATGACTGTTGCAGAATCCCTGTAGTCATGTAATCAAAATTTAGATGCTTGGCAACTGAGACGCATTTATGATGGTTGCAGTGTGCTGGGGTCATGTAGCTCACCTTTTGCCACCTTCTGACAAGCAAAGTCAGTGGGAAAGCCAGATTTACTTAACAACAGTGCTACTAACTTAACAACCACAGTGATTCGCTTAACAATTGTGGCAAGAAAGGTTGTAAAATGGAGCAAAATTCAATTAACTGTCTCACTTAGCAACAGAAATGTTGGGCTTCATTGTGATCATAAGGTGAGGACTACCTGTATAGAATTTTGTTTGCCGAGGCATTGCTATCAAACTGTTGCCCAGAATTATGAGACAGGCAGCTATATAAATGTGATGAATACATAAACTGAAGTACTTTTGTTCTTACACAGCCCTGTTCAGAATGATTAAGGGAATATTTCCTGCATTTTTAAAGTCTGAACTATACATCTTCAAGAAAACATATACCAACCAAAACTACTTCCCCAATTCAAATCAATTTTTTTTAAATTTTTTCAAACATGGAACAATAATATGTACTATATGAATTGGGGAATTTATTCAAATATTCTGAAATTATTTTTTAAGCTATATTCTAATCATCCATTTCCTTTTATTTTTATATTGTACTTTCATGTTCTGTCCTATCCTGTCCTATATTTTATATTGGATATTTTTAACAATAAAGCAGTCTGAATATTTTCTACTCTATGTTAAATACTTTCAAAATATATAATTAATATGCATTTGATTGATTTAAAACACTATTTAATGATTTAAAAACACATTCAGTGTATTTTTCCTCCCCTTATTAAAAAATAGGAAGAAAGGATTCTTACTTTGGGTAACATATGCTCCAAAAAGGATCCATATAGAAGCAATAAGTGAGGCAAACATCAACATGAAGCCAATGAAGAGCCAGACACGAGCACCTAAAACAAGATTTACATTCCTTGGATCAAACTTTACTTTTATGTGTTAAAGATTTCAGTGATTAAAAAGGGCACATTATCAAAAATTATACTATTTTCAAATGCCAGATCAATAGTTCTGATAAATTCAAAGAAATTAAGATGCAACACAGTACAAGATTAACCAGATAAATGTTATCTTAAAACATTTGATATAAATAATTAAGTAACATTGAGCAATTCAGGTCAATTTAAAGAGATATATTTTGGTAACGCCCCCCTCCCCCAACCTTCACAATGAAATTCATAAGGTAACTTTGGGAGCGTTGTTCAAGTAATTCCTGCAAAGATACAATGGAATTAAACTTTAAACATACACTGCCCAATGTTCATTAATAAAATTGTGATAAAGGAAGAATCTTTCCCGAAATATCAAAGAAGTTTTTACCCCTTCCTTTGTTCAGCCTGAAAATTTAACACTTTTTAAAGCAGTAATACCACTTTTACAAAGCAACATTACCAGTGTTTTACCTCAAAAGCAGGAAGAAACTCATGTGTGACTATCTCTTTCTTCTGCCTTGTAGTACAAAATTAGGATAGAAAGTTTTGGCGTGCTGCATCTTCTCCTGAACAGCAAGATTTTAGATAAGGATTCTTGTAAACAAGAGTGCACTCACCTGTTCTTCCTAAGCATCCATCACCATAATTGTCACCTCTTACTTGAGCATTTGATACAGCGTTTATCCTGCAACATATTCACAAACAAATCTTAAAAATAGAAAAAAAGCAGAAATAAAATCCATTTGATTATATTTCCATTCTGCAATTCATTTTAGTTTTCTTTCCTTTGAATCTAAAGGAGTTAATGCAGAAAAGATATAAAATTCAAAATATTACAGCTCAATAATCAATGTTTAAAATATGAATAGTAAATTTAATGCATTTTCTTGTTCATTTTTCTGTAATTATTGGTATGTGTCTGATACTTGACTAAGCCTACGCACCCTTATTTCTGATGTAGTTTAAGACAGGGGTCCCCAACTTCTGAGCCATGGCCCACTACCGGGCCGTGGCATATTTGCAATGGAGCTGCGTCAGCGGTGGGCTGGTGAGAGAGTGCATCTGCACGCACTGGCCCACCGCTTGTGCGAGTCAAGTTCGTACTTAGGCACATTGACCTGCCACTGACGTGGCCCAATTCCTCTGCCCCCCAGCCAGGCCACCAAGCCACAAAAGTTGGGGACCGCTGGTTTAGGAGAAGGAATGGCAGAATCTGGGGGCAGAGTGAAAAGGGGGATGAACCTTGAATCCCTACATAGTCACAAGCGAAATAATGGTACTTGAGTACCATTTACCCTTACATAACTCTATCTAGACGCTGACTGTTGAGAAGGCTCCTGTGCATAGACTTTTAGCAATAAATCAGCTTAATTGAACCTTGAGGTATAGGCCTGATCTTTTGAACCTGATATATGGCCACAGACCAGCATAACAAACAGTTATGCCTTGAAAGTAGTAAGTTGTAATCAGTGTTAATAACACCTAGCATTAACACATATTATGTGTAACACACATACAAACAGGAAAAGTTTGGTCTAGTGTTTAAGGCACCAGACTAGTAAGCCAGAGACAATGAGTTCTACTCCTGTCTTAGTCATGAAAGTCAGCTGGGTGATATTTGGCCAGTCATTCTCTCAGCTCAGCTCAGCTAACAAGAGTTGTTGTTGTGGGGAAAATAGGAGGAAGGAAGTATGTTGGATATGTAGCCACCTTGAGTTATTTGTAAAAATATAAAGGTGGAATATAAACAAACAAATGCCCATGGAGTAGGAATGGTGGTTTGAAGATTGTATGAAAATCTTTAATAGAAACAAAAACCTTTATTTTTAAACTGAATTTGTTTTAAAACATACTTGCATATAGGTAGACCTCGACTTATAAATGTAATGGAACCCACCCATTATGGTGGTAAGTCGTGACAGTTTTAAAGCAGTCATCACATATCCAACCAGATTTTAAACCTTTTTTGTGACAGTTCATAAGTGAATCACCATGGTCAGTAAGTGAATCTGTGGTCATTAGGCAAATCCATTGTTTGCTATGGAGCATTTTTGCCAAAACCCAGAAGTAAATGCTGGTTTTCAGCAAAAACGTAAATCAGTTGTATGACTGTAGGATGCTGCAAATGGCTTGAGATACCGGCAGTTGTTATGCAGCCAAAATCTGGTCCCAGGACCAGGATAGCAGCCGTTGGAACTTCAGAACCAAGTTGTAAGTACCTTTTGGGGGTCCATCGTAACTTTGAACGATCACTAAGCAACTAAGACATGAAGAATAGTAAACAAATTGGAAATTTAAAAAATTCCCTTAAAAATGTATTTTGCTTTTTCTAACAGCTAACAATAATTCAAAAAATAAATGAAGCATAGAGAACAAATATATCCACACACATACACACACAAATCTCACTTGATGCAAATAGGAGTCTTGATGACTACAAGGATACACGTACATTTTATTCTGGACAAGATTTGGAAATGGAATTGCTATGGCAAATTTTTAGTCTGGTCAACAACCTTGGGATTTCCTAGTGGTGTCGCATCCAACCTAACTCTAATCAAATCCAGGTAAGCTTTTTCATCATCAGCCAATGTAATCAAGGTGCTGTTCCCTGCTATGATTTTATATTGACTTACATGAAAAAAGCTAGGGTGGAAAATACTCCACAAGTGTGAAATGCGTGGTTCATTTGTTCTGGTTTAGGATAAGCTACTGCAGCATCTATCATTATCCACCAGCCTGTAAAAAACTGTAAAAATATGATCAATCAATTAATTCAAAAACAATTTTAAAATGGTGATACATATATCTTTATTCCTAATATCATCACTCCTTTGTTAAGCACCATAATTATATAAGCACCAGTCATTCAATTCTATAATTGAAACTAAGCTTCTAAGCAAAATAGTCACAAGTTATTCATTTTCAGTGACATTCAGACAATGATATGTTGGAAATATACGTAGTCTTCTATTTACAATTGAGCCCAACATTTCTGTTGCTAAGTGAAACATTTGTTAAAGTGAATTTTGCCCCATTTTACAACTTTTCTTGCCACAGTTAAGTGAATCACTGCAGTTATTAAATTAGTAACACCGTTTTTAAGTGAAACTAGCTTCCCCATTGACTGCTTATAAAAAGGTTGCAAAAGGTGATCACATGACCCTGGGCACACTACAACAGTCATAAATATGAGTCAGTTGCCAAGCATCCGAATTTTGATCATAAATCACTTTTTTCAGCACCATTGAAACACACCACAGTGAAATTGAGCCAAACAGACTCCATGACTAGGAAAGAAGGATCGCTTAACCCTCACCTTCCACATGAATTGTCATTCTTTCTAAGCAGCTTAACTTTAGATTGCATTTCTGTAAAATACACAAAGCAATGCAGAATAGAAACATAAAAATAGTACTGTATATCATAATCAATAAAGGAGAATATCTGTACTTAAATTAAATTCTACTATTCTACTAGTTGTAATAGTAGTATAAAATCACAGTCTCATAAAAAGGGACATCAGATTAGCCTTTTGTGATTTGAAACTTTACATTCTTAACTCATTTACTGTAATACAGTACGTTCTCCAGTGCAATGACTGACTGAACGGGGAGGGGGCAATCACTAGAAAAAGTTATTAATACTGGGACATTTATAAAGTCTGTCTGGAACCATATCAAATAGCCATCAATAAAAATATATCCATATAGCATGTGATATTTCAGTACTCTGTTGGACTGTGGAAAGAGGTGTTTCTAGTTTGCACAAGAACATAAACATTTCCAAATTTTGCAATCCATACCACTTTCAAGGCATGCAAAGGATATTTTCCTGGCCAATAAATAAATATTACTGTGACTACTTTTCAAATAGATATGACTATGTTAGTTGGGGTTTGTTCAAAGCTCAGGATACTTAAAAAGTGCTTATGATCCATTGTAAGTATTTTTATTCCAGAAACTTTACAAGAACATACTTCAGAACACTGTTATCTATCCCTATCTATCCCTAATACGCACAATATTTGTAGAAATATGTGGAAAACTGCAGTGTATAAGAGAAATACATATAAATATAAATTGAGATTTTACTGAGAAGTGGGAAGCTTTGTAAAATAACTATTTTTTTCTAGTTTTTATTTATGTTAACCTAGACAACAAGAAATAATTCTTAAAATACAAGAGGTATAATGCAAGTCATTTACAGATGACCAGTCTTTCCAGTTTCTAACCTCTGACTTACAGATAGTTGAGACTGACCTGGACTACTTAATATGACTTTCAAATAACTTTTGGATATCAAGATATTATAAGCATCAACATGTTTACCCATTTGCAAGTCTATAAAGTTCACAAAGAACCAGTAGCTATTACCACTTCTCTTTCCTATTCCTTGCCAATGGATATTGTACCATTGACACAATAATTCATCAGTTCTCATATTGGTGAGGACCTAAGGCATCATCATTAGCAAGGGGTCAACTTGCTTCATTGTTAGAACTGAGTATCATCCATAATTTTTGTAAAATGTTATAGATATAAAATTACGGGGTCTCTAGTAATCCAAAAACAAAATGAATTCAAGTTTTTTTCCTTTTTCTTTTATATGCAAAAAGGAAAATAAGAAAACCCCACAAATATATGTAACACTTAGTAATCAAAACTAATCTTATATTTATGTATTATACAGTGTCATTGTCATGTCATGCTACACAACTGATTAAAATTATTTCAAATTAGTTGGATGTGACAAGTTCTTACAGAATTTAGATATAGGTCATATTACTAGGACTTAAAATTAGCCATAAATAATGTCATATGACTTACCAAGACCCCAGCCACCACAGAAGCAACTGTATTTCTTCTTTCACCCCAATCTATACATTCACATTCAGGCCAACGGAAATTGTCTAGGAAGCCTGCCATTTTGCAAGTTCAGTTGGGCTTCTTTACACTTAATTTTTGTAAGTTCCTACCCCTAAACAAAAGATTAGAAAGAACACCAAACTGAAAATAAGTGCAGTTACTTTTATGTAAATAGCCTGGATCAGATAAAAAAGTTATTTCAAGGAACTCAATTATACTTTAGTTCTGTGACCCTAGATCTTAATATCCTTAAGAATGTTTATTGTGCATTTCTCAGTATTTTGCAATATTGAGTTTTGAAGGGGAACATTAATAGTGGCTTGCTCAAAGCCTTTGAACAAACTTAGGAGAGATATTTAAATAAGAACTTTCTGGCTCATAACTTAATTAAATGAGCAGAAACCAAACCAAATGCTCAATTACAGCCTTTTGAGGAGGGCAGCCTACCTATTATACAGAGAATTAAAACATCAAGATCAACATTTAGACCTTTATACAATAAAGTACTTTGGAGGCTGACCAAAGCCCTTTAAGACTATGAAGAAAAGGAAAGTGATGAATTGCACCAAATATTATTCCATCAAATCAGAAAGAACACTTCTAGAATTATCAGCATG